GTGGCACACTCCCCCTTCTGGGGATGGGGCTTCCGGAGAGCTAGACTGAAGTGATTATTACTGCCCTTCTGGGTGTAGCAACCAGGCAGGGCCTGTGGACTCTGGGCTGGTGCTGGGGAATTTTTACAGAGTCCTGTGATACTTGTTTTCAGATCTCCCAGCTGTGGATACCAGCACCTGCTCCAGTGGAGGTGGCAGGGGAATGAAGTATGAACTTGGGAAGTCCTTGGTTACAGTTTTGCTTCGTAAGCTGGTTTTCTTAATTCTGGTTCTGCAAGCAGTGATTTGTCATGTGGACAGACTTGGGACCTCTGGTTAGCCAGGGTGTTGAAGCTGTGGAATTACTGTTTTCTTTCTTTTTGAGCAGGGTGGATCAGTATGAGTTTCTGTAATGGGTTGTTGGGTAGCCTGTAGCCAGGAGGCAGCGCTTTGAAGAGGGCCAGCTGCAGAAGTATAAGGGGGATATAATGTTGCCCTGCACTGGCCAGGATGAGACTTGGGTTTCTCAGGTGTTGTGTGGGGCCGTAGAGCTCCCAAGAATTTGTCTTTGGCTATCAGGGCAGGTAGAAAAAAGACAGGTGGGGTCACAGCTAGGTGAGTTTGAACTTGGACTTGGAGTGGGGCTTCCTGCAGCCATTGTGGGAGGGGATGGGAGGTGGTTCTGAGGCCAACGGATTTGCTTCCAGGGAAATTATGGCCACTGTTATGTGTCATACAGGCTCCCAGGGAAGTGGGGGGAAAGCTGGCAGCAACAAGCCTCACCCAGCCCCCGTGTAGCCAGCACAGCAAGTCTTGTTCCTCTTGCTGTGCTCCACCAACAGCAATGAGTTTATATCCAGGGAGCGGGTGTACAGAGCTAAGAACTTGGCACAGGCTACAAGCCTCCCCACTGACAAAGCAAGATAAGCCTCTTGGGTACTTCATGAACTATTGACTGTGGTTTCTACTTGTATCTGCACTGCCTGTTCACCTGTCTGGATTCTGCTCAGGAAAATGTGCTCAATTACTACAAACTTTGGATAGAACTTCCTTCACCCTGTGGCCCCTCTCTAATTTCACTGGCTGCCTTTTCCCCAGGACCGAGAGGACCAGGAATGGCTTCCTTGGGTTTGAGCTGGGGACTGGTAGTGCCTACAGGACTATTCCAGCTGCCTCTCCTGTTTTCATATTTCACTCCACTCCCTAGACAAGTTTTGGCTCTAGGAAAGGTTAAATCCTTCCACTGTAATCTGGATTTTTGGATACCCCAGCAGGCATGTGTGTTCTCCTCACACTTGGGAAACTCAATTTTGTTTTTTGTTTTTTGTTTTTTTGGCTGCCTTGTAGAGTGCAGCAGTAAGCTGCTGCTTTCAAAGGGTCTGAATTGTTTTCCTGGTATGTTCCTGCAGTGACTCTTGGGGTAAAACTCATGAGTCTCCACACTGTTCTGCCTGTCTGAGTGGGCTTTGGACATTAGTGCTATCTCCTATCTGCCATTTTCCTCTGGAACCCTACAGTATGGTTCTTAGATTGGCTGAAAGTGAACCTTATTAGGGAAGACAAAGGTGCTTTGGCTAAGCTGGTGGAAACTATCCGCACGAATTACAATGACAGATACGATGAGGTAAGAGCAGCTTTACACAAAATATTGTCATGTGCTAATCTTTTTCCCAAACAACTGGCTGGCTTAACTCATGAGCAGTTGTATTTGGCAGTCAGCTTGAAAGAGCCGAACAGAACAACGGAACTAATAACCTTGAAAATCTCAGAAAACAAGAGGCTAAGCTGACTTGCTCCTTTTGTCTTTTCAGATCCGGCGTCACTGGGGAGGCAATGTCCTGGGTCCCAAGTCTGTGGCTCGCATCGCCAGGCTAGAAAAGGCAAAGGCTAAAGAACTTGCCATGAAACTGGGTTAAATGTATACTGTTTTCTTTAAATAAAAATAATTAATGCAAATTTTCCTTTGGCCAGTGTCTGTTGGTATCTCAGGTTGAATCTTGGGGTTAGCAAGTATAGCTTTTTAAAAAAAAAAAAAAAAAAAAAAGAGCCTCACTGTCTTCCAGGCTGGAGTGCAGAGGCATGATCTCAGCAACCTTCACCTCCCAGGTTGAAGATACTCTGATGACTTAGCCTCTGGAGTGGCTGGAATTACAGGCCCACACCTGGCCGATTTTTGTGTTTTGGGTAGAGATGGGGTTTCACAATGTTAGGCTGGTCTCAGCTCTTGACCTCAAGTGACCCACTGCACCCAGCCCTTCCCACCCTTATACGTTCTTAAGCGAGGCATTTTGCTCTTTAGATGTAATTTTCATGTTAAGTTTTAGGAAATTTCATTGGACTGACTGAAACGAAGCCAGGATTTTATGAGCAACCAGTCATGAGCTCATGCAAGGTAGAAGGCCCAGAACTTTTATTTATCCCAATAGTACATGATCCAGCATAAAGGTAGTCTTTTCAAATATGTCATTATTCAGGGATAGGGCTTTAGCAGCTGGTCTCACACACCAGGTGTTCCACATATGAATTTATTAAACCACAGGTATGATGTAGCTGCAGAGTCCATACCTAGGGTTGAAAGAAAGTGTTAGTGGGCTGCTAGGCTGAAGGGGAGGGAGTCAGAGGGCCGCCTGGGACTCAACGGGTTGATGTACTGCAAATGCTCCTTCCTCAGAGTGACTCTGGCTTGCCTTCCTATGGGTCCTCCAGGGACTGTGCTTTCTGCAGAGACTGTGGACTCAAGTCCACCATCTGCTGCCTGCCAGCCTCTGCACTACTTCCTAGTGGCTGTCATTTTAATTGGAAATCCTGTTTGGCCTTGACCCCTCAGTACTTGCCTAGCTAGGTTCCCTTTGCTGAATTGCCATCTCCCCCATATACACGTGTGAGAATGTATGCCACAGCAGAGACTGAGTAATGAGGATCAGGAGGAGGAAGGACAGTATTCACAAAAGCTACTTGTTCTAGGGTGAATTGGTCACAACATACTGAAGTCAACATCAATGAAGATGGGCTCTGCGCCTGTGATTCTGGCCATAGCCTCCAGGTCCCAGTAATGCCAGTGGTTCCTTTCTGGATTGTTCTCGGGGACAAAAGACTTTCCAGTTTCCGTCAGCCTCACCATTCCAACGAGGTCCACTTCCCCCTCAATCTATAAAGGAACGTGAGAGACCATGGAGCCTGGCTGACTCCCAGAGCCTTCCCTAAAGTAGGAAGAGTCCATGTCCCTTACCTGGCCTTTCTGCCAGGTTTCAGGATTCACTTTCTTCCTGGGAACCAACCCTCTATTTACCAGGTGGAGAGGGTTTCTGAATAAAAACGGTCACTCACGGTTACTCAGGCACCCATAGGACTATAGCACCAAGGAAGGCTTTTAAAACAGGACTGACTCAGTGGAGCGCTGGCAGTCCCACACAAAGTCTTCCTCTCTTGAGGCCCCTTGGTTGGTAAAAGCTTCCCTGCCACCTCACCACCTTTTTACCAATGTGGTTTCCCCTCTACTTCTGCTTCTTTCCTTGTGCTCTACCCACTGCAATGTGCAACTGGTGACCAACACTGCCATGCCAGAGCTGAGACCCCACACCTCTCCCCAGAACTAGCAATGGCTGCCTCCAATCCCTCCTCATAAAGGGGGCAGCCATGAGGAGAAGCCCTGGCACCCCAGCCTGCTGGAGACAGAGCATTTCAGACCGACCCATCCCGGGCATAACAGGAACCCATGGGCTAACAAGAGCCCCAGGTATTTTCATTTGTACATTAATCCTCCAGTGCCCCAACAAATCACACAGGTGCTCCTGTACCTGTCATTTGCTTTGCCTGGAATGTTCTTCCTTAACTCTTAACTCCCAAATAGCCTCTTAACTCCCAAATAGCCCCCTAGGGAGCCATCCCTGTCTCCACTCCCTGAAGGTAGGGCTGGGATCCTTTCTCAAGTTCCTCTCCTTGGCCACTCCTCATACCCCACCATGATCTAATGTGTGGGTCACTAGAGAGTTTCTTCAGAGAAGGGGCCCCCATTTCATGAATCCCTCCTTCCCCTTGAGAGGGCAACATACAGAAATTGTTCAGTCATAATGAGCTAGCTGAGAAGTTTAAGTCAATGTCACAATTAGAGATTTTAAAAACTATGCAAGGAATCGAATCTTCTGGGTATCTTGGGTTTCCCAGGGTCTTACCCAGGTTAGGGACTGTGAAGGAAGTAGTGATGTAAATTAGTTTACCCTGACTGCCTCTGCCAGGACAGCCAGCTCCCACATGCCCTACTCACCCTAGGTGGGTGCACTGGAAGGGAGTGGCCACATAGGTTCCAGTCTCAGCTGAGGAGATGCGGCCGGCCTCCCAGGCAGGGTCCACCATAGTCCGGGGCATCATATACAGCTCCTTGGAGAGATCAAAGCACCCCCTGACTTTCGCTGGCCTATACTCCAGATTTTTCAGTTCCATTGGGCTGCATGGAGACAAGAAGTGCCTGAGCAAGGTTTGCCCGCAAAACGAATCCCCTAATGAGGGTGGCAGACTACACAGCCCAACAGGGCCAGACAAGAGAAGGAGAAAGATAGAGGGCATCCTCTCTAAAGGGAAACTGGCCCTTTGATGCCATGTGGGGATGCGGATCTGCACTCCCAGAGTCCAACTCTACGAGAGAAGCTAAAAATCTGGACGACTCCATGAATATTTCATGTGAAATGTTTTAAAACGTGTGGGCCGAAACCTCATCCACAAGCCGAATCTGGCATACTGTTTGCTATGCTCGATGGAACATTTGGTTGGATTTACCTGCCTCTGAGGGAATACTCTAGGGAGAGGGCAGTCAAATCATTTAGGGCACTTTTTCAAAAGACCACCCTCGCAGTGAGAACGACAGGGACTTGGGCCCCGTGGAGGATAAGTTCACAACACCTGCCGAAAAAAGAGTGACACGCAGGACCCCAAATAAGACTTTCCTCCATACGTCAGGAGGTGGGCTCAGGTACCTTCACAAGGGCAGTCACATGTCAACAACAAGCCCAACAGGATGACTGATACTGAGAGCTCTCATCTGAGGTCAAGGAAGTGACTAAAAGTCCTGCCAAGAGGGCCAGGCCGCCCAGCAGAAGCCAGGGCTCCACTGTTGAACTCAAGTGAGATCAGCCCCAGGGGCACAACCACACACTTATTCTGCAGGCAGAGGAACAGGCTCAGCCAGAACTCTGGGCTCCAACTCTGCAATCAGGTTCGGCTTCCACTTCCGACGCTGGACCTACAATGACAGAACATAAGCCCAAGCAGATGGCAGCAGGGTCAAGGGCCCAGAGTTACCCTACCAGGTGCCAGTCTTTACCTGCCATGTCCCCAAGCCAAAGGCAGTCACAGGGATGACGAGCAGGACCCACTGGAGAAAGGAGTCATCTTCCGCTTTTGTGGCAAATGAGTCTGCTGCAGAACTGCCACACCTGCTTGGCCTCCAGGCCACCTCTGGAGAAAGTTTCACAACACTGACATGGAGGCAGAAGCCCTTGAACAGAGACCTGGAGCAGCCAGTTCCAAAAAAGACTCCAGTACTGCCTGAGAGAATGTGGCAGAGGAAGGAACAAAACCTGCTGCCTGGAGCCTACTAGTAGCCCCTGTGTCCAGCCCGGGCCCAACCCAGCGCCCGGGACATGGCACACACGGAGTATGCTTGCCGACTGAATAAGTGAGATCCAGGGCTCAGTGTTGACTTGACCACCAACTACGACCCTGGGTAACTCATGCCTTTTTACTCAAGAGTATGCCAAGATGTGTTCCACTGGACTATGATGCACCATTCATCCACTCAAAATGCATTTAATAAGCGGCTAGTTACTAAGTCGCTTAGCCAGGCGCTCGCTAAGATTTAACTCCTAGGAATTTCCACATCACTATCTTCCCTACTGGGCCTTGGAACCAAAGCAAACATTCTCACAAGGCCATTTTGAAAGTTGTCTTGTTCTTGGAATAAAGCCCAAAGATAAGCCTGTAAGCTGTGGGATGTTCTGAGGACAGGCAGGCATGTTGCAGAGGATAAGAATAACGGACTTTGGGGACCCGAGGGAAGGGGGTGAGGGATAAAAGCCTACACATTGGGTATGGTTTATACTGCTTAGAAGACAGGTGCACCAAAATCTCAGAATTACCACTGAAGAACTCATCCACGTGACTAGAAACCACCTGTTCTAGAAACTATTGAACTGTTAAAAAGGGAAGAGTGCTCTACCTGCCACCTACTACTGTTCTTTTCTTCCTAAGGATGGCGTTACTGCTCAACCATGTTTAAGCCATGCCCACATTTTCTGAATCCTTTTTGCCATTTCCCTTCTCAGCCCTAGCTTCCGTGTGATGTCAAACAGCAGCACCTGCGGCTGTTTTGCAGTCCCGCCCTTCGATTCTTAGGCCCGTTTGTCTGCACACACATATGCCCATGGCAGACCTTCCAAACCAGGTCGGTTACTAACAAATGGCTGTCAGTATGAAGAGACACAGCCGAGGTGTATCCTGCAGTCGTGTGCTGCCTTGAGGGATCCAAGGAGTCTGCAGAGCCTATAGATTGTGTGAGTTTTGCTAGAGATCACAGCCTTGGCTTCTTACCAACCCCTGTCATGCCTCCCTTTTTCCACTAATCTTTCCTGAGAATATTCTCTTCATTTGTTTTACATGACTCAGGTTCTGGGAAGTTCACACTGAAACCACATTGCTTGGTCTCACTTTAAATTCATGACAGCCTTTATTCTTGAGATAATTTTTGTATGATGTGTAAGGAAGGGGTCCAGTTTGTTCTCTGCATGTGGCTAGCCAGTTTTACCAACACCATTCAATAGGGATTCCTTTCCCATTGCTTTTGTCAGGTTTGTCCACGATCAGATGGTTGTAGATGTGTGCTGTTATTTCTGAGGCCTCTGTTTTGTTTCATTAGTCTACATATCTGTTTTGATAACAATACCATGCCGTTTTGGTTACTGTAGACTTGCAGTAGTTTGAAGTCAGGTAGCGTGACGCCTCCAACTTTGTTCTTTTTGCTCAGGATTGTCTTGGGAGCATCACACACACTGGTGTCTGTTGGAGGGTTGAGGGGTTTGGGGAGGGATAGCATTAGGAAAAACATCTACTGTGGATGATGGGTTGAAGTGTGTAGCAAACCACCATGGCACATGTGTACCTATGTAACAAACCTGCATGTTCTGCAGATGTATCCCAGAACTTAACTTATGACAACCATGGCACCTCATTTTCAGAACTGGTTTGATTTCTTAGCATTTGGAAGGAACAGACAAGTTTCTCCCTTCAAACTCCAGGCTTCAAGACCCCCCCAGAGAGGCTGCCAATGTTCTCCCAACACCTCTGGAGGTCCCTCTCCCATCTCAGGGACAATAGCTCCTGGTGATTTTACTGCCAACAGCTAGCACAGTTTCATATCTTCAGAAGCCAGCCCAAGAATTCAATGAGCCTGGGGTACATCACCCTGGTGAGCAGCTTTATCCACTGACAGGGAGAGGGGGTGTAAGTACTTTTGCTCCCTTGCCACTTACATGTGAGGTATGAGCTGTTCTGGCTCCAGAGTTCTTCAGCCATGATGAACTAGAGTTACCACACATGGGACTATGCTTAGTATCACTTTTGCTCACCTCTTGACCCTCACCCTTCTCTACCAACTTAAGGATTTTCACATGGACTTTACTAGGCTGTATGTCTTTAACACTCACATTCTCATCCTAGGGTCCACTTTGAGAACCCAGACTTAAAACCCGCCCAAATTGTTGACAGTCTTTCATAACACATATCTGATCACAAGTTTCCATGCACCCAGCATCAGTCCACACAGGCCAAAGATGCTGTCAGCCCCTTGGCCCATTTGTGTCTGAGCATCGCCTTTTCCTATGAGGTTTCTGGGCTTCCATTTTGGCCACCAAGATGTGGCCATTGTATTGTGCTGAACCCCTATTAACATGTTGGCTAGGGAAGATGCCATGTTCAAGCGGCGTAAGAAGAAACCCAGAACCAGCCAACAAGACACAGTTACACTGGGGGCTTACATACAGGGAGAACAAGCAGCAGCAGGCTGGACAGAACTGCCTTACAGTCAGTCCAGTGATGGTGAGCTGGAAAAGAGATCCACCTTCCTGTAGTCCAGGGGCAGGAGGCTGGCAAGTTAACACAGCCCAGTGGTAGGGAGCTGGGCAAGAAAGCCACAACCACTTGCCAACAACATGCAGTTTACGTAGCACTTTCATGTAGCATCCTCCCATTAAGGGCTTCCACCTGGCAACTTTCATTTAACCCAAAACTCAGGGCCTCAATACCCCCATATAGCCCATGCTCCAAAGGCCAGGGGCTCTGATGTTCCTCACAGACAAGAACAAATCCCTAAGTTGGCCACTCCTGGATTCCCTAGATCTGAACACATTCAGGCGCATCTGCCACACTCTGTCACTCTTAGGATATGCTTAAGTTACTGCTGTTAGATGCACTTACCTTATTCCTTGAAAGCATGAGACACTATTTCGCAAAGGAAAGTTGTGAAAGGACCAAAGACATCCTGAATCAGCAGCACCCTCTTCCCAGGATGAGAGGGGTTCACCCCCGGTAGGCCAACAATAGAAATCGAACCACTCTGCTGAGTACACATGTACTGGGCTTGACAACAAGCAAACCTTCGTCCCTGTGAGAACCTGAATCATCACTTCCCGAGACATAAAAAGCACCAAGACAATGAGTGACCACTCAGTAGACGGCTCAGACAGTAAGTCCCAGATGAGCCAAGAAACATGAGAAGCTCGAGCACAGATGGAGCTATCTGACCTGAGCCGCCGTCCATGTTAGTTTGCCCATTTTGGCTCTTTACCCAGAGACCTAGTGCTTTTTGCACCTCCATTAGGGAGATGTTTCCCCTCTTTTTGTATCAACCCCCAAATATCCCAATATCATATGAAGTTGTACTGTAAGTTGAATCAACAGCCATAACATAGTATTTTGGCCCCCAAAACTATGGTACAGTATCCAATAGCCAAGGAATCAACAGACATATGACCTCTGTCACATACTACTGACCCACTTGGAGATGGAATGCTTCCTATCTCACAAACTTACCCCCATAGGATCGGAACTGCTTATTCCCTAGAGGCAGATACATCCTTTAGGAGCTGCAGAATGGGTTACGCATTTCATACCAGTAGACCAGCAAGCAGAGAGGAGTTACTCTATTGGCAGGGGTTGTTGACCCCAATCATGCTCAGGTAGGTTGTGCTCAAGCAGGTGCTGTGTAAGGGAGGATTATATCTAGATATCCAGGGTTCACCACAGTAATTTGTTGCCACCATGAGGGAAGGAACCAGAATATGCAGTTATGAAGACCAGAGAAGTGCAAGGTGCTCAGATCTTTTGTGAGTCACCGTCAAGGTCACTTTACTGAGTAAGCAATCTAGATTAGCATAAATATTGGCAGAGCATGG